TTTTTAAGGTCCCTTTTTATCTGTAGCTAAATTTTTTGCTATAGTCTCTAGGGCTTAGTCTCTTATCACTGTCCTAGCTGCCAAGACACCACAGTACCCTAAATACACCCTTCCCCACTCTGGGCGCATCTACACATGATGCTTACTGTGCAGTAGCGTGCCACAACACAAACAGTGCTAATACATTACTGTGCAGTATTATTAGGCTACTGTGCAATAGCATCATGAAAAAGGCATGTGCCGGCACTATTGCACAGTAGCACTGGTTATTGCACATTAATTTAGTTGACTAAACAAATACTAAATGTAATACTCAGTAACTACAGTGCATTAATGAATGTGTAGACATGCCCAGAGTCAAGGAAATCTTATATTGATGTATATAGATACCAACTTTACAGAAACAATCAGTTTCCTCACCATTCTTGAGCTCTTGTTGGTATTCAGGTGAGCATCTTTTCAGGGGTCTTGGGTTCCCTATCTTGGCTCAACTCCTGCAGGCAAGGCTTCTCTTCAGAATCACAGAGTGACTCCCATGGTTAACATCTGTTCGCTGGGCTAGCCATTTCAATGGCTACCCCCTTTGAGTCCCTCTCTGAGTCTCTTGTCAGTTTCTCAGACTTCATGTTTTTTACCCCTCAGTTCTGACATTAATCTTTTTGTCCTTTTTGTGGGTTTTCCAGTCCTTAAGTCCCTATCTCTCTGTAGATAAACTGGCTTGACCTAGGAAGCAGCCACCTTCGTCTGTGAGTTAGATCTCTTCAAGTGCCAGTAATTTTTAACAACAATCCTATTCACAGACAGACCTTCACCTTCTTATCTTTCCAGCTCAAAGAGCATGAGGCAGGAATACAGTAAAATAATCACAAAAGCCAAAACATACAGAAAGTTCATAATCTTAGACTTAATTTGTGAATTGTACATAGGTTCTTCAGTTTATCATGGAGTGGTTGCCATAAAGCAAAGTTGAAGTTTAGCTTTAGAATTTAAATGTTGTTGCTGTGCTATTACAGGTATTTGGATGTAACATGACAATGTCAGATGTGTTTGCTTTGAGGACGTGCTCTGTTTGTGCCACTCTTGTTTGTAGCAGATTTTCACCAGCTCCTAAATCTAAACTTGAAGAAGGTGGGAAGTGAGAAGAGCCAAGTCATATCTTTAACAAATTGAAAAGTTTCCAACCACAAAGTGTTTTTCTTGTTCTTGAGCTAGCTTTATTATCATACTTTCTTGGACCTTTTGTTTGCCTTATGTTTGATTACAATCACTTGTCAAATGCTTTTGAAAATGTTAACTTATAACTATGTTCATCATGATGCATCTTTCTCTCTCACTTTATTTTTTTTAACTGGAAATGCATTTGGAGAACTCCAGCAGATAAGTTGCAAGTTTGGTAGATTGCCCAAATGCATCTCAGATGTCACTCCAATTGTACGTGTATCCTGCATAACTTCCAAAAAAGTTTAACAACTTTAGTATGACAGCTTCAGGCTATCACTTTGTTTCAAATGATCAAATCCAGAAAAGAATCAGTATTAATATTAGAGACCCTTTTTTTCTCTTTCCTTGAGGCTTGCAGAGTGACTAACATCTTTAAGGACTCTCCAGCAGACAGACAAGAGCCCAGCTGTTCATTGTGCATTTTTTAACACTTACCCTTACATCACAATTTCAGGAACTTGAACGTGAAAACTTGCTCAACTTGAAATAAGTGTTTCAAAGCATAATGGCAACCTCTTGGAAATACTGTGCTTCCTTCAAACTAAAATGTTGTGCCTATTGGGCGTGTCTACACGTATTGCTGTGGCAATGTTGTAACTGCCATGATTTAGTAATTCCTTTTGAAAGTGCTAAATCATGGTTCAGTAACAACCTATACTGTGCCATATATGCGGTGCGCAGTTATTTTTAGCAACTACTTTGCTGTAACGGCATGCTATACTGAGGGAGCGCTTCACTACGGCAAAGTAGCTGCTGGTCACATGTAGACCCGCGGATGCTTCATCTCTGTAGCTCATTGCTACAACGAAGTACTATCATGTGTAGGACTCACCCACAATGTCACTAATCTTTACATTGAACACTATCGTGATATCTTCAGATGTCTTTAGCATTAGAAATCAACTTCAACTCTAGCACTTTAAAACATTTTTTATAGTTTTGTATTTGTAAATAGAGTTAACATTTCACTTTTATATAAATGTAGCTAACTTATGGCTTAAAATTTATATCAAAAGGTATTACTGCTTAATTTGTCCATTAGGTACAAAGTATATTGATGACCAGGTTGGCTGGTTTTCACACAGGGAGGAGGGGACAGTACTTAAAGGAAATGTTTAAAACAGTTCCTTACCACTTATTTCTGTCTTAATAGTTCCTTCTGATATGCTATTGGAGACATTGTATATATTAAGCTCATATATTAAAGTTAGCTGTTCACATTTAAGTTGATAAGTATAGTCAGTCTCATTTAGTAGCAAGCATCCATGACCGTAAACACCTACATTTTATATACCTATGTTATATATCTATTTTTCGTACAGAGGCCTCATTTAATAGAACCACATACAAGTGTTCACTCTGAAGAGAGCACAGGAGCTGCAAAGAAAACTGTGAGTATTTAAATACTTGCATTGCCATTTTCTGTTATGAAGTAAACAGTTAAAACCATGGAATGAAGATAGTCTACACACCAAAGTGAGGTATGGTGGTTTTGTTTTGTTTTGTTATTTTTTTAATAATGTACAAGTTAAGAGATAAGGTAGCAGGTAGAATTTCTGTTAAATCAACTAGTCAGAAGACAAGTGGTTGGTTTGTGGAATAACTGATGGTTTCCTTTCTTTAAGCAAAAAGAAAGAGCTCAGACAACAGTGCAGCAAAGGCATGTGTTCCATAGAGAATCATCTGTGTTGTCTGTATATAGAAGAAAAAAGTATGAGCAAAAAGCTGAAAAAATGAGCCTTAGAAGATGGAAAATTACAGAACAGAGGCTTCCTTCCCAAAAGACAGACAGGCCTCATCAACAACAAAAACATGTTATTTCCTTGTTGGAGAAGGATCACGAAGTTTCACTGGTGTAGTATTGCTTTCTATTTTTTTGTTTTAATTTCCTTGCAAAATAGCTTTCAAATTTGCTGAATGCATTTGTTGCAGTTATTCAGTTGCACTTGCTTTAAGAAGTTTAAGAATATCCAGGTACAGCAAAACAGGATTTATGAACATTACCTTTTCAGTTTGCTCTGTTTTTTGCCAATCTCCTTTCATGTTAGTTTGCATGGTCCTTGAGATTTAAGTTTATTTGTTAAGAATAGTTGCAAAGACTGTGGTACAGTAGGCCTGTGAAAGTCCATTCCGCAGCATGTTTTCATATGACTAAATTTAAGTTTCTGTGTGCTGTTCATAATTGTTACTAAGAGTCCTTATTTTAGTGTCTAGAAAGACCCACTGTGTTAGTTGTAACATAATGGACAGTCCCTGCCCTGGCAAGCTTTACAGTATAAATGATTAGAATTTAAAGAGAGACACTCCAAGAGAAAGTATAGTAACTAGTAGGGCTGTGTGAAGCTTCGGTCCCTTATTCGATTCAACAGCAATTTGGCCCGATTCAGTGGCCAAATCTCTGAATCAAATCAGAGGACCCGTTAATCTCTCCAAATCAATTCGGAGACATTCAGAAAGATTTGGAGATTCAGATACAGAGGCAGCTTTAAATGTTTTTTCTACATACCTCTAGGTAGCAGGGGCTCGTGAATGCTGCGATGCTGGGGCACGTTGAGTGTCCTACAGAAGCATGGGGGGCTCCCCAGCGCGCTCAGCAACAGACCTGGAAGTGGACCAGAAGCACTTACAATCCACTTCTAGGTCTGCCAGGGAGCACACTGGGCCCCCCACCTCCCGTCCCCCCAGGCTCAATGACTGGTGCCTCCTGGGTCGGGGTGGGGGGCACCCAGGGTCCCACTGCGGCTGATCACTGAGCCAGGGAGGTGCGGGGGGGCGTGCTGTCTGGCAGATCCAGAAGTGGGTCACCAAGCACATGGAGGGCCCCCACGCACTCCTGTGGGACACTCGATGTGCCCCAGCATCACCGCCATCACAATCCGCGCTGGTACCTCAAGGCACGTAGAAAAAACTTTTAAAGCTGTGTCTGTGTCCAAATCACTGATTTGCTGAAGAGAGGGAACTTACAGGATTTAGCATCTTAAGGGACATATAAAGAACAGCCCAGGATAGATGCGGATGGTGGAACCATGTTTGCGCTCAAAGCAATGTTTGACTATGCATGAAGGATTCAGATTCTGATAACCAAATTAAACTATATACCCAGTCAGTTTTTACTTCTCAGTGACAGCTTTCTGTTTACATATTTTCTGTGGCTAGTTGTAGGTTCTGTTGTCTTGTCTTGAAAAATGGGTTAGTGCTTCAAAGAAGGATGATAATGACTTTCTTTACAATCTCTGACATCCCTTCTCTATTTAGCCGATGCCCAAGGAGAGAAACATTCAGTACAAATTGCATCATATTTTCAGCACATGGGTACTCATATGTTGCAACACCAGTATTTCTAGTCATCCTTTTACTTCTAGAAGCTAATTAACAACATTTTTTCTGCATTGGGAGTTACACTAATGTGTTTTTTGTCACCTGTAGCTGGCAATAAACTTAGAATTCTCAATTCTCATATTATGGTATTACATCAGAATATGATAAATATTGCCTTTGAAAAGATGGTACTAATAGTTTATTTCCTAACAAGTTCTGTTAGTTGATTCTTCACTCTCCCTTAGAGCTACTCCCATAACATGTTTATTTACAAAAACAAAATATGAGAAAATTAAGCTTCCCCCCCAAAAGGGTTAGGAATGAAAGACTTTTACAATGTGGAAAATAGTGCAATGCTAACACCTTCTGTAGTTCAGTTATATCCCAACATTTCTTTTTCATAGCTAGAAGAAATAGGATGTCTGGAAACAGTAAGTAATACAAGTGTAAATTGGAAATGTGGTTTTCAAATTACCTGAAGTCACACAACTCTTCCATATTGCTTCTTCTACCATGGAAGACTATTCCTATCTTAAAAACTGATGTGGAACCAGGTGACCCAGCCCAGCAGTGGTGGCCCATTGTGCCATTACCCCCAATCTCTTTGCAGAACCCCAGAGTTATGTGGAACAATTTGAAAACCATTGAATTAGAAGATCTTTGTGTGACTCTCAAGTTCTGTAGTTAAACTGGTTAGGATAAAATTTTGCTGGTGCCATCAATCTTCGTACTTCAAAGTAAGTTCATAACCTCGAAATGTCTAGAAGAAATTACTTCCCCCAGACCTCAGATATATTGGATGACAGGACATTGCACATTTAATTTATGTTTGCACCCTGGGTTCTGTGCCTTTTCTCTTGATTGCTATAGAAAATTAGATGTATTATTGGTTTAACCTGATAGAGTAATTCCCTATCTTATCTGAGGGCAAGGAAATGTGAGGAAGCAGATGATGTCATGAAGACAGATTTGTATTCTGTATGTAAACCTCATTTACATGAAATGATAAAATTCAGTGTTAAACCCTCAAAAGACTAAGGCCAGGTATTCCTTTTTTTTCTGGAAGTGCAAATAGAACGCACAATGACTGCAGCTGCAAATCAGTGTTGCACTTCACAGTCAGTCAGTGAAAGGTTTGAGTACTCGGACACGAACACAGTTGTGTTGCATACACAAAACTGCAAATACAGAGTTTTGCAAGAAATTGCCATCTTCAACATAGTGGCTGTCTTCTTGAAAAACTAGTCCTAAAAGCACAGATAGAATTGAGCAGTGTGTGTGAATATTATGGTAACTTGGTGGATCTCATGAAAACAAGATACAAAAAAAAGTCTCTTTGGGGGATTTTGACTTACAAAACAGAAAACAAAAGCAGTTTGCATTGTTATTTAATAAGGTTAACATTTCCCAATATGGACAGCTATCAACATTGTTTGAATTAGTGACATATTGTGACGACTACCAAATTACCCATCAAGTATGACGGGGGGTGGGGCTGGCAGAGATGGAGGCCTATGTCCAGCCCCACACCCTCCCTTCCCCCTGCCACTGCTCATCATCCAGCCCCACTTAACGCCCCCCCTTGCCACCCCGGGTCCAGCCTCGCTCAACCCCTACCCCCTTGTCGCTCCTCATCCAGCCCCCCATCCCTCTTGCTTCAGGTCC